ATTGTGTTCAGCATTTTTTCCGGCGCAGGTGGAAGTAAAGGCTGAATAGCTTCTAATGCATTGTCGACCAACTTCCAACCCCAGTCTTTTGGGTCTAGCTGATAACCAAGCCACACGTGAACTCGGTAATATACCCGGAAAAGATGTTGATGAGATTGGAGGAAGACAAGCTAATTGCACCTGTTTTATTTTTAGTGTTTTTTACGAAACATGCATATCGATACTTATATAAGCAGGTGTTTTTTTTCGGAGCTTTGTACATAGAAAGAAGAAACTGAATCACGTTGGTGATAATTTCTTGTTGAGTCGAATTACTTTTTTTGAAAACTTCAGCACATCGAACTAAATCTTGTTATTCAAACATTTTAAAGACTGTTGCTTTACCCCTCCTGTAAAATGCAGACATCATATCACAGCCAGTTACTGCGTGTAAAAATAGTACATGATTTTGACTCTTTGCAAAAGTAGATAAACTTTTTGACAAATATATTTCGGATTGACTTTAAGCTTTTCCTGGCTTTAGAGAGAAAATAGTTTTTTCAGGTGGAGTTCGAGCAGTAAGAAGTACGAGTAAGTCTACATCTTCACCAACAACAATAATTGTATTTGTCAAATTAAATTGCTCTATAGCTGTTTCAATAATCAGTACGTAAACATCGGTATTAGCCTGTTTAACCAATATATTTTCGCCAATAAACTTATCCTTCAAAACTGAAATGAACCGAGATTTGTTGTGCATTTGCAAGAAATTTCTGTTGACTGGTAGGAACTGTTATAAGTTCATCAAATAGAATATAGGAAGATGAAGATGTTGCTAAAATTCGACGACGTTGTTCTGCAGCTTCACTATTTCTCGTGCAATCATCATAGCCATCAAATACGACCGTAATTCTGGCACCAAAATGTCTACGTACATACTGAACGTATTTATCTAAAATAATGCTAAATATTTCTTCGCTATCCCACATAACACGATGAAGTAAGTATCCACCGTCAATGATGTATGTCGTATTAGTATTGTTAACTTCAATGTTGACCTGTTGGAAACAATCGTAAATGGCAGACTTCTGTGTTTTACGCATCCCGAAGTCATCAAACAACGATAAAAGGGTAGGGAGCCAATTCATATTCAAAATATTTCTCAATTTCATCTTGAAATGCTGCAGTAATACTCATGCGCTGGAACAATAATACGACCCTAGCCACACACACAATTGAACAGGGAGACAGATATTGGCTCAAGGTTACACTAGCGTACAAATTAAAAGGGACTGGATTTCATTTAACCTGATATTCCTATATTTATACTTATGTATACCAATAGAAAAATATTTTTACTTAAATTACAACTTCAGAGATGTATATACGTGGCATACTTATGCATATAATGACGATTACAACTTTTACAACTTTTTGACTCGTCGTATCTCAGAAACGGTGGCTCTAAGAAAAAATTTATCTGAGGTTATTTTATGATAAAACTTACCGTTTTCCTGAAAATCGCGAAAAAACAATTTTTTTCGGGATTTTTGACCTTATATCTCGAATAAATTTTTTTTCAGGCATCGCAATCATTCGGAATTTTAAAATCTGATTTTTTACTATGTTTTGAACGATTACACGCATTTGCAGCTTGTTGTAAATTTATGTACCTTCACTGTTACTTTTTAGTCTAATTTGACCGGACTATGGGGGCGGGCTCGCCATCATGTTTGGCGCTTACTGTACATATTTCGAAATGAAATCTCGAAGCATCAATTCCTCCCAATATACCTACACAGTAGATTCTGGTAAATAGCTGCTGGAAAACTACTATTTCGCCGGCTAATACCACGCTGGTCAATTATATCTGACAGACATTCATGCAAGATACCTACCACACAAAGGATGGTTCTGTAGATATGCAATTTATACCATACAAGATACCTCTATGAGGTTTTTTGGTTTGGGGGTGATAGTAATTGGAGTTTTCCTTAATCCCCAATAATTGTGAAATTTAACGGTGAATTAGCGCAAGTGGTGATGCGCCAGACTCACAATCCAAAGATTGTTTGTTCGAACCCAACGTCTAAAGCGAAAATTTGTTGAGCGGAGGGCTACCCGTTAACACGAGTGGGGGCGCCTCCCACTGTTAAATCGTGGGACCGTGTGGCGGAGTGTCTTCTGCCGTCGTGTTAGGCTCAACCATGGTATAAAGATCATAAGAACTCAACAAAACAGTCATCCTCCTGCCATCCCCCCTATACCTATCCCTCTTCCTTTCCTAACCATAGTCTCGTATGTAAAAGAATGTATGTTATTGTGAATATGTAAATAGATTTTTTTGTTAGTGTTGTAACCAAATTGACAAATAAAGAGTTTTGGATTTTGGTTATAAAGTAAAAAATCAGTAGTCTTCAACAGCGACCAGGTGAACAAATTTATATGGAAGCAAATAATCAAATATATCTAATGTCAAAGGTAATTTTAACAAAATATTACGATTGTAGGATATAAAAGTATCAACTCAATTTGCTTTATTTTCAGGTAGCAAAATTATTGGGATAGTCCTTCCTCAAGCGCTTAAGGAAGCTATATATTGTATAGCGAAACACGTGTCGCGGTATTTGTAAAACTCTTTTTAGTGGAAATCATATCTACAA